GAAGCAGTGGATCTACGTGGAAAAGGCACAAGAAGTGAGGAAAATGGCGGAACACCACGCGTGGGAGCTACACAAGGAGTTTCCAGAGCTGCTGAAGGAAGAAGTGGTCAAGGCAGCCATGAGCCGAGGAGTAAATGACGTGAGGACAATCACAGAAGCTGAAGTAGCAAGCTGGGGGCACGTGGACCTGCTGGTGGCTGGGTGGGAATGCCAAGGGGTATCATGGGCAGGAAAGGGGAAAGGGGAGCAAGACCCAGTGAGGGGATGAGTGACCCAGTGGGGATGTGCGAGAACCAGTGAGGCTGGTGAAGGAAAGAGTGACCCAGCAGGTGGGTAAAGGGGTAAGCAGTGACGCAGCACGGATGGGAGCATACGCACATCGGCTCAGGATGTACTGGCAGAACGTGGTGCCAGCGGAGGACCTGCAGAAAGAGATTGAAGGGGTACAGAGAGCGGGAGGACGAAAGGTGAGCGATATACTGGAGCCAGGAAGAACGCCAGCACCAGTGAGGAAGAAAAGCTACAGCAGACATTATCCGTGCAACCAGGTGGGGCAGGAGAGGCAAGCGCTATCTACCCTGGTGTCGTATGAGGGGGCAGCGGGATATAGGATGGATGGGGAACAGCCAGGCCCAGGACTGGTACGGGACCACAGGAAGGGACGGTGGGAAGAGCCCACGGCCCTGGAGAGGGAGCTAGCCATGGGGTACAAGGAGAATGCCACAGCAGCTCCAGGCGTGAGCGAGAAAGAGAGGCGGCGAGCGATGGGGAATGCCATGGATGGGTACATGATGAAGTGGCTGGTGCAGCGGATGTGGAGAGAGACCGTGCTGCAGTGGGGACTGAAGGAAGGAGAAAGCACGGTAGCGACAGTCAGACAGGGGGTGTGGACGTGCCTGCCGAAAGAAGAGCACGAATGGAAGATAGGCGAGAGCATGAGCGAGGGAGGGAAGGCGGCAATGAGGGCACTGTTAGTCAAGCATAGGAAGGGTTTCGCCTTCACCCTGCAGGAGTTGGGGAAGTGTAAGATCAAGGAAATGGCACTGAAGCTGAGCAGTGAGGAGCCGGTGTTTCACCGTAGGAGGAAGATGCCACCAGGGGATGAGGCGATCTGCAGGGAGAAGATCAAGGAGTTATTGGAGGCAGGGCTGATCAGGAGGTCCGAGTCCGAGTACGCAACCCCGACCGTGGTAGCAGCCAGGAAGGATTTGACAGGAGAGGTGCTGAGCCGGAGGATGTGCGGGGATTACAGAGATCTTAACAAGAACACGGTGCCAGACAGATATCCAATGCCGATGGCGGAAGAACTTTTTGACAAGATGGCCGACGGGGTGTATTTCACAACACTAGACCTGCGACAGGGATTCAATCAAATCAAGATCAGAGAGGAAGATGTGAAGAAAACGGCTTTCCACGGACCGGATGGGTTGTACGAATGGCTGTACATGCCCTTTGGTTTGAGGAACGCCTCAGCGGTGTTCCAGCGCGTCATGGACGCGGTGCTGAGGGGGATAGAGCATGCAGCATGCTACATCGACGACGTGGTGATCTTCAGCTTGACCGAGCAGCAGCACCTGGAGGACGTGGAGAGGACATTGACGGCTATAGAAGAGGCAGGGCTCACGTGCCACACTAACAAGTGCAGATGGGGGGAGCAGACGGTGCAGTACCTGGGGTACGAGGTCACAGGGGGACAGATTGGGATCCAGCAGGCAAAGGTCCAGGTGCTAGACAAGTTAAGGGAGCCAAGAGATAAGTCAGGACTGCGTGCAGTCCTGGGCTTCCTCAGCTATTACAAGGCGCTTCGTGCCGAACTTCAGCAAGAGAGCGACGGTGCTGAACGGGATGCTGCGAGAGGACATGGCGTGGGAGTGGGGAGATAAGCAGAGGGAGGCGCTGCACGATCTCATGTCAGCAGTGAAGACGGCGACAGTGCTGCGGCTGCCAACAGCAGACCAGCCCTTCATCCTCTACACCGACTGGAGCAGCCAGGGGATGGGGGCGATCCTGTGCCAAGAAGTAGAGGGAGTGGAGAAAGTGGTAGCCTACGCCAGTAGGAGCTGTAACCCAGCAGAGGCACAGTACAGCTCATACATTGGGGAGGGGCTGGCGGCAGTATGGGCAGTAGGACACTTCCGGGTGTACCTGCAGGGCAGAGAGTTCACGCTAGTTACAGACCATCAGCCACTCACGTGGCTAATGACGACGCCGGGCCTGACGGGGAGGAATGCGCGGTGGGCAGTAAAGCTGCAGGAATATGATTTTAAGATCAGGCACAGGCCGGGAAGACACTGCAGCACGTTGATGGCCTGTCCCGCAACCTGCCACCACCAGAAGCAGAGCAGGCCGCCAAGCAGATGGGAGAGACGGAGCAGGAGCCAGCACAGACCTTAATCCTGCTGGCGAGGGAGGTAGAGCGGGCGGGTGCAAAAGGGAGCAAGGGGCCAGCCGACATATGGCTGGATGCAAAGGCAATGGAGTGGCTGAAGGGAGAGACGGAGGAAGATGAAACGGTGCCCGAAAGGGTGAGGGCACGGGGACACCACTACAGGTGGTATCAGCAGCAGCTGCAGATCAAGACGGAGGATGGCTGGAAGCTGGTGCCAGCACCTGAAGAGCGTGACGCTGTGATCAAGGAAGTCCACAACAAGCTGGACATTTCGGGCACGAAAGGACAGTGCAGCTGCTCAAGACGGGCTGGTGGTGGGAAGGGATGCGCAGGCAGGTGAAAGAGTGGGTGGAAGGGTGCGAGGCGTGTCTGAGGAGCAAAGCCAATCTGACGCAAGCCAAAGCAGAGCTGCACTCACTGCCCATCTGTGGGCTGGGGTTTCGCTGGTCACTAGACCTCGCGGGGGAGCTGCCGCTGAGCAGGAGCGGGAATCAGTATATAGTGTTCATGGTGGAACATGTGAGTAAGTGGCTGGAGGTGAGAGCCATACCGAGCAAGAGCGCGAGGCATATTGCAGCAGCCTTCAAGGCGCAGGTGGTGTGCCGATTCGGAGCGTGCGGGGAAGTACTCACTGATCAAGGAACAGAGTTCCAAGGAGAGTTCAAGAAGCTGCTGGCGGAGTCTGGTATCGCGCACCGTAAGACCTCCCGCTACCACCCGCAGAGCGACGGGCTGACTGAGCGGGCCGTGCAGACCTTTAAGCGGGGACTGCGGGCCTATGGGGAGCAGAGGAAGAGAGACTGGGATGAGGAGTTGGACTGGATAGCAGCAGGGTACAGGTTCGGGAAACAGGCAGCCCTGAAGGACCACTCCCCGTACAGCCTACTTTACGGACGAGAGCCCATACTGCCAGTGGGGGCACCGCGGGTATTGACTGATACAGTGACGGCGGGCACGATCAAGAACTGGGTAGCTCTGTCCGAGGTGAGAGCGCGCTACATGCGCTACATGATGCCAGCTGCACTGGAGAACCTGCACACCGCGCAGCTGAGGGATGCCAGGAGGTATGAACAGAGGCAGCGCAAGGGAGATGGGCGAGTGACAAGGGGCGTCAGCGAAGGGCAGGAGGTGTATCTCAAGAGAGCAAAGCAGGACACCTTGGATGTAGGACTGGGGACGGTCCGCTGGAAGGTCAAGGAGGTGCGCCCTTCGGGGGTGCTGGTCCTGGAGAATGACACGGGAGCGCAGTTGAAGGAGCATCAAACGAACACGGCAGTGATCCGAGGAAGCGGGCCTCAGCGCAACGGTCCTGTGACCCGCGCTCAAGCTGCGCGAGCACGGGCACAGGAGGGGGCAGAGGGTGGCTGAGGCAACAGAAGCAGTGAAGAGAAGTTGAGCAAGAAGACTAAGGCAGATGAGGGAGTAGCTGTATCTCCGACAGCTGTCACCGAATATGCACGGTTGTGCATATAAGGTGCCAGTAATAAGGGGGTGTAGCAAGGGTGTAGTTATGTTGTGCTTGCAGATTCGAGGATGGGTAGGTGGGGGCTGGGAAATTGACGCGAAGTTGGTAGGAGAGCACCAAGGGGTGAAATCCATGCAACCAATGGGAACGAACCAACCCAGGCTCGAGCCGCACATTGAGAAATGCACGGTTCGAGCCAGGGTCAGGTAAGTTCACTCTCACACACACACACAATGCTTTCCGTTTGTTATCCTTTCGTATAGTGGATTCTTGTTGCCTTAAGCTTTGCCTACGGTGACACCCACTCAGGGAGGACCCTTGAGGTGAGAGTTTCATTTCTTTCATGAGGGTGGCTGAGGCAACAGAAGCAGTGAAGAGAAGTTGAGCAAGAAGACTAAGGCAGATGAGGGAGTAGTTGTATCTCCGACATCACTTCACTTCACTTCACTTCGCCTCACTTCACTTCACTTCACCTCACTTCACCTCACTTCACTTCACTTCACCTCACTTCACCTCACTTCACTTCACTTCACCTCACTTCACTTCACTTCACTTCACCTCACTTCACTTCACTTCACTTCACCTCACTTCACTTCACTTCACTTCACCTCACTTCACTTCACTTCACTTCACTTCACTTCACTTCACTTCACTTCACTTCACTTCACTTCACTTCACTTCACTTCACTTCACTTCACTTCACTTCAACCCGCCTCACCTCGCCTCACAGCGCACTGCCAGTATTCGTTTCTCACTTTCCCCTCCGCTTTCCTCTCTGCATCCCTTACAGGGCTTCAGCCCCCTTCAGCGTATCCCTCACAGAGGACCCGGCTGCTCTCACGGTCTATGTCCTTTGACTCGAGTCAACTCAACAGTCCCCCCTCATCCCCACTCCTTTCATCTCCCCTCTTCGCATCCCCCCCCCCCTTCACCCCCTACAGGGTTTCAGCCCTCTCAGCGTATCCCTCACAGAGGACCCGGCTGCTCTCACGGTCTATGTCCTTTGACTCGAGTCAACTCAACAGTCCCCCCTCATCCCCACTCCTTTCATCTCCCCTCTTCGCATCCCCCCCCCCCCTCACCCCCTACAGGGTTTCAGCCCTCTCAGCGTATCCCTCACAGAGGACCCGGCTGCTCTCACGGTCTATGTCCTTTGACTTGAGCCAACTCGTCAACCTTCGTCATATCCCCTCATCCTCCATTCAACCCCCACAGGGCTTCAGCCCCCTCAGCATATCCCTCACAGAGGACCCGGCTGCTCTCACCGTGTATGCTTTGACTCGAGTCAACTCAACAGTCCCCTCTCATCCCCACTCCTTTCATCTCCCTTCTTCGCATCCCCCTCCCCCCCCTCACCCCTCACAGGGTTTCAGCCCCCTCAGCATCTCCCTCAGCACCCGGCTGCTCTCACAATCTATGTCCTTTGACTCAAGTCAACTCAACAACTTCCCTCATCTCTTCACATCATCTTCCTTTCACCCCCCACAGGCTTCAGCCCTCTCAGCATCTCCCTCACAGAGGACCCGGCTGCTCTCACCGTGTATGTGGCGGACGTGTGGAGCAGCCCTCCCTCCTCTGGTGGGTGAGTGTGAGCCTTGGCCCTTGAAGAGAGCGACTGCTCTCACAGTCCAAAGCCACTGCTGTAGGTTGTAAATCCTGATGGGCTGCTCTCACAGTCTATGTGGCGGACGTGTGGAGCAGCCCTCCCTCTTCGGGCGGGTGAGTGTGAGCCTCCGTGTGTGCTTCTCGCGGCCAGCAACAATATATGTAACACGGGTTGCGCTGCTCTCACCGTCTATGTGGCGGACGTGTGGAGCAGCCCTCCCTCCTCTGGCGGGTGAGTGTGGCTGTTACTGCTTTCACACTCCAAAGACAATATCTGTAACAGAGTGTAGCAGGCTCTAGTGCAGCTGCTTTTCTTGAGTCTACTCATAAGGTGGCTGGGCGGAGTTGCAATGACAGAATTGGAGCTACAGCAGGCTCTGGCGCAGCCCGCTTCCCCTAGGTCTACACTCAAAATCCCGTGTCCTCTCTCCTGGTCCGTGTACTCATAAGGCCCCCTGTTTCCCTGTTTACTCCCATCCCAGGTGGCTGGGCGGAGTGGCGATGACAGAAGCAGAGCTGCAGCAGGCGCTGGCACAGTTGCCGCCTCCCCTGGTTCCCACCTTCCTCAAGGCGTACACTGTTGGCATGCAGGTGGGGATGAGAGGGATAAAATTGCAGGAGAGGATGGGAGTGCCAGAGCTAGCAGGTGAGAAGGTGAGAGTGTGCGAGGGTGAGAGTGTGAGAAGGGGAGTAGGTGAGAGTCGCACTGGGACATGCTGATGCGCACTGGATGAGATGTCATGTTCATATTATAGCCTGTCTGAATCCGCCTCTTCTTCCCCTCTTTCCCTCCTCTTCCTCCCAAGCAGGTCTTCTATGCATATGTGGCCCGCCCTCCCTCCTCCTCCGCTTCCCACCTCACTCTCACAGCTGACATCAGCCGCAGTGGCTTTGAGCTGCTCGCTCGATCCCTCAGGTACCCGCCCCTTCCCTCCTCCCCTCCTCCCCTCCTCCCCTCCTCCCCTCCTCCCCTCCTCCCCTCCTCCCCTCCCAAGCAGGTCTTCTATGCATATGTGGCCCGCCCTCCCTCCTCCTCCACTTCCCACCTCACTCTCACAGCTGATACCAGCCGTAGTGGCTTTGAGCTGCTCGCTCGCTCCCTCAGGTACCCGCCCCTGTACGTTGCCTCTTTCGTGCCGCCCAAGTGTGGGGAGCAGGGGAAAAGCGCCACGGAAAGATACACTGTTCTGTGGCAAGAGTGATAATTCTGGGAGGGGGGGGCGGGAGGGGGGAGGGGGAGGGGTTTACTGATGGTACTCTCGCTCGCTCCCTCCGGTACCCGCCCCTGTTCGTCGCCTTATTCATGCCGCCCAAGTGCGGGGAGCAGGGGAAAGCGCGACAGAAAGATACACTGTTCTCTGGCAAGAGTAATTCACTTCTGAAAATTCCCTAGAGTGTGGGGACCAGGGGAATAGCGCGAGAGTAAGATTACACTGTTCTGTGACAATAAAGATGGTGTTGGCGGGGAGGTTGGGGGAGGGGATTGTGGAAGGTAGGACGACGCAAGAGGAGAAGTTGGGGGAAATGGGCGAAGCAAGGCACAATGCGTGAAAACATTGGATACGTTGCAGAAGTGATGCCATGATGTAGCATGTATCTCACCTTGTAAATAAATTCATGTACATTCTAGAAACGCTAGAAAACAATGGTACATATTAACACAATATTGGATTTACTACTTCCCAATGCTTCGAATTGGTAGCCAAACTCACATCGAGCATGCTACTGGCGAGGGCATCGGAATCCCACAAAGCTTGCCTTGGGCCGAATTCACTTCGCACAACTCGCCCCTTCCGCCCCTAATTTCTGTTGCTCCACGAATCGGAATCCGTCCTCATTTGTTCTTTCGTTGTGCCTAGTTTCTTACGCACTCCGTCCGTCGCGCTGCGGTTTCAATCCTAAGATGGATTTCCGTGCCGCCAGCATCCTCGCAGCGCTCTTGACTTTAGCTCTCCTCGCGGCGGCCCTTCCTCGCCACGTGTCCTCATCCCCCGCGTTCCGCGGCGGATTCGGCGCGGATTTCCACCTCCGCAGCCCCGTCGCCGCCACTGACGGTGCATTCCGCTACGAGAACCTTCCGCGAAGGAACGAATCTGGCGGTGGAGCCGTGACAAACCGCTCATAATCTCGTCGCAGGGAAAGCACAGCGCGCCGAGTCGCCTAAGAATCCGGAAGTTCCGCACGAGTGGTCCCGCGGAACGCGCGCCGCTAGAACTCGTCGGAGATGAGGTGATTTGCGCCCGAGTATTCTTGTGCTTTGTGTCGGACTCTTAAAGGAATGTTTGTGCTTTTCTTCACTCTCCCCCCCTTCACCTCTCCCCCCTTCACTCTCCCCCCTTCACTCTCCCCCCTTCACTCTCCCCCCCCTTCACTCTCCCCCCTTCACTCTCCCCCCTTCACTCTCTCCCCCCTTCACACTCTCCTCCCCCCTTCGCTCTCCCCCCTTCACTCTCCCCCCTTCACTCTCCCCCCTTCACTCTCCCCCCTTCGCTCTCCCCCCCTTCACCTCACTCCCCCCTTCACTCTCCCCCCCCTTCGCTCTCCCCCCTTCAATCTCCCCCCTTCACTCTCCCCCCTTCACTCTCCCTCCCCCCCCCTTCGCTCTCCCCCCTTCGCTCTCCCCCCTTCGCTCTCCCCCCTTCACTCTCCCCCCTTCACTCTCCCCCCTTCGCTCTCCCCCCTTCGCTCTCCCCCCTTCACTCTCCCCCTTCACTCTCCCCCCTCCCCCTTCACTCTCCCCCCTTCACTCTCCCCCTTCACTCTCCCCCCTTCACTCTCCCCCCCCCCACTTCACTCTCCCCCTCCCCCCTTCGCTCTCCCCCCTTCGCTCTCCCCCTTCGCTCTCCTCCCCCCGCGCTCTCCCCCCTTCGCTCTCCCCCCTTCGCTCTCCCCCCCTTCACGCTCTCCCCTTCACTCTCCCCCCCTGCTCGCTCTCCCCCCTTCAATCTCCCCCTTCACTCTCCCCCCTTCACTCTCCTCCCCCCTTCGCTCTCCCCCCTTCGCTCTCCCCCCTCCTCGCTCTCCCCCTTCACTCTCCCTCCCCCCTTCACTCTCCCCCCTCACTCTCACTCTCCCCCCCCCTTCGCTCTCCCCCCTTCGCTCTCCCCCCTTCGCTCTCCCCCTTCGCTCCCCCTTCGCTCTCCCCCCTTCGCTCTCCCCCCCTCCCCCCCCTTCACCTCTCCCCCTTCACTCTCCCCCCCCTTCGCTCCTCATCTCGCCTCTCCCCCCTTCGCGCTCTCCCCCCTTCGCTCCCCCCCTTCGCTCTCCCCCCTTCGCTCTCCCCCCTTTCGCTCTCCCCCCTTCACTCTCCCCCCCTCTCCCCCCTCGCTCCCTCCCCCCCTTTCACTCTCCCCCCCTTCACTCCCCCCCTTCACTCTCCCCCTCCTCCACTCCCCCCTTCACTCTCCCCCCTTCGCTCTCCCCCCTTCACTCTCCCCCCTTCGCTCTCCCCCCCTTCGCTCTCCCCCCTTCACTCTCCCCCCTTCACTCTCCCCCCCTTCACTCTCCCCCTTCGCTCTCTCCCCCCCCTTCGCTCTCCCCCCTTCGCTCTCCCCCCCCTCGCTCTCCCCCCTTCGCTCTCCCCCTTCGCTCTCCCCCCTTCGCTCTCCCCCCTTCGCTCTCTCCCCCCTTCGCTCTCCCCCCCTCCCCCCCCCCTTCGCTCTCCCCCCTTCGCTCTCGTCGTCTCGACCTGTTGGCGTTACTCTCCTCACTCGCGCGCTCCACCCATCCTCCCCACTCCCGTCCCAGCCTAGCTACGTCGAGCGCAAGTACCCAGGGGGATGGCTGACCACCGGCCTTACTCTCCTCGCGCACACGCTCCCCTCACTCCCCGCCCTTCACTCTCCTCCCCACTCCCTTCCCAGCCCAGCTACTTGGAGCGAAAGTATCCAGGCCGTTGGTTAACGGCCGGGCCCATCCTTGACTCGCGCGTCGAATCATCCGACCTGCCAGCGCTACTCTCCTCGCACACACGCTCCCACGTCACTTGTGCCTGATTTCCCCCACTCCCCCGCTGACTGACAGGCCAGCTACTTCGAGCGCAAGTACCCCGGGCGGCTGGCTGACGGCTGGGCCCATCCTCGACTCGCGGGTCGAGTCCTCCGACCTGCCGGCGCTACTATCCTCACGCACGCGCTCCCACGTGCCGGCCTTTGTCAGAGCGTATGCCGTCGCATCCCCTCGCCCGCTCGTCTTCTTTACGATACTTTGGCAGCCCAACTCCAAATCCGTAAGCTCTTTCGGTTCCTTGGGCAGTTGTTATCACCTTCGCTTTCATATGCTCCCACGTGCCCACCTTAGTCAGCGCGTATGCCGTCGCGTCCCCTCGGCCACTCGTCTTCTTTACGATACTTTGGCAGCCCAACTCCCAATCTGTAAGCTCTTTCAGTTCCTTGGGCAGTTGTTCTCACCTTTGAGTGATTTTTGAGAATTTTCAAAAATCACTTCCTTGGGCAGTTGTTCTCACCTTCGAGTGATTTTTGGGAATTTTCAAAAATCACTCCCTTGGGCAGTTGTTCTCACCTTCGAGTGATTTTTGAGAATTTTCAAAAATCACTCCCTTGGGCAGTTGTTCTCACCTTCGAGTGATTTTTGAGAATTTTCAAAAATCACTCCCTTGGGCAGTTGTTCTCACCTTCGCTCTTATGTGCTCCCACGTGTCGGCCTTTGTCAGCGCGTATGCCGTCGCATCCCCTCGCCCGCTCGTCTTCTTTACGATACTTTGGCAGCCCAACTCCAAATCCGTAAGCTCTTTCGGTTCCTTGGGCAGTTGTTATCACCTTCGCTTTCATATGCTCCCACGTGCCCACCTTAGTCAGCGCGTATGCCGTCGCGTCCCCTCGGCCACTCGTCTTCTTTACGATACTTTGGCAGCCCAACTCCCAATCTGTAAGCTCTTTCAGTTCCTTGGGCAGTTGTTCTCACCTTCGAGTGATTTTTGAGAATTTTCAAAAATCACTTCCTTGGGCAGTTGTTCTCACCGTCGAGTGATTTTTGAGAATTTTCAAAAATCACTCCCTTGGGCAGTTGTTCTCACCTTCGAGTGATTTTTGAGAATTTTCAAAAATCACTCCCTTGGGCAGTTGTTCTCACCTTCGCTCTTATGCGCTCCCACGTGCCGGCCTTTGTCAGCGCGTATGCGGTCGCGTCGCCTCGCCCGCTCGTCTTCTTCTCCATCCTCTGGCAACCCAACTCCAAATCCGTGAACTCGTTACACTCACTCGGCAGCTGTCTGCGCATGTGCTTTCCCATGCTCACCTCGCGCACGCGCTCCCATGTGCCGGCCTTCGTCAGCGCGTATGCCGTTGCATCTCCGCGCCCGCTCGTCTTCTTCTCCATTCTCTGGCAACCCAGCTCCAAGCTTCGATGCTTGCATCACTTGCTCTTTTGATCATGTAACCTCCCTTCTGGTCGTGTTGATGCTCTTTCAACCTCTGCTGCGCCTTTCTCCTCGCCTCCGTCCACTGTTCTTCCCCTTCCCCAACAGCTGGGGCAAGTGATGGTCTTCAACCTCAATTGTCAGCAGTTTCAGGATGCCCTATAGTATGGCTCAACACCCCCCTGCACCCACCTGCACCCCCCTGCACTCCCCTGCACTCCCCTGCACGCTCCTTTGTAACCCCCTGCACCCACCTGCACATCCCCTTTCCCAAGCAGGTGGGGTGGAAGATGGTGTTCAACCTCAATGGCCAGCAGTTTCAGGATGCCCTGTAGTATGGCTCAACCGTCCCCTGCAATCCCCTGCACCTTCCTGCACCCACCTGTTCTTCCTCCTCCCCAACAGCTGGGATGGGTGATGGCGTTCAACCTAAACGGCCAGCAGTACCAGGATGCCCTGCACCACTACATCTCCTCGGGCTATAAACCCTCTCATGTGCGTACGTCTGAACTCCGTAGGGCATAAGTCAGCGTAGGTATGTTCAAGATTTACATCTCCTCGGGCTATAAGCCCTCTCAGGTGCGCTCATATGTGCTCAGGTGTGCCCAGGTTTACTCAGGTGTGCTCAGGTGGTCTCAGGTGTGCTCATCTCTTCGGCGCATGTTTGTGTGACTCTTGAGTCTCCTCAGGTGCACTTATCGAGCTTAGCCACAGTCACTTTGCCGCCCATCTTTCTTCCGCCCACCTCTCTGCTGCCGCCCACCACTTTGCTGCCCACCAATCTGCCGTCCATGACAGGTGGAGAGCTATTACGTGGCGGATCACCACGGGCTGTACTACGCCGCCATCTTCCTTGCTGACGTGGCATGGAAGCTGGCAGCAGCACATGGGTGGAGGCCGTGTTTGGCGTCCCTCACGACTCCGCCTATTGCTGTGGCCCTTCTTCAAGATGGCTGCAGCTGCAGCGACAGGTGTGATGGGTGCTGGGGAAATAGGGGGATTGGGGGGGGGGGGACGCGGCAATTGTGAGTGGCTCATGCTCCTCCTACTGCTGCGGTCCCTCTTCGAGATGGCTGCAGTTGCAGCGACAGGTAGCATGGGGGGGGAGGGGGAAGATTGGAGCAGTGGGAGGGATGGGGTTTGCTGGGTGGGTGTCTCGTGAATGGGTGCCCTTCATGATACATCGTACTGCTGCAGTCCCTCATCTTGGTACGGGGGCAGCACAGTGGGGAACAGCATGAGTGGAGAGGAAGCACGTCCGCCTCCACTCTCTGCACTGTGTCCGCCTACACATACACACAAGAACCTCCGCCTCCACACTCTGCAGCATGAGAGCTGCACTGTGTACGTCCTGAGTGGTTAGTGGGAGTAGGGGGAGAAAAATAAGTGTGCTTCTCTCCCTCCCACCTCTCAAAACGTACACGGTGCAGCTCTCGTGCTGCAGAGTGTGGAGGCAGAGGTGCTTAGTGTGTGCGTGTCGTTAAGCCTCTAACGTTTTTTTAACCACTTTAGTGTTAGTTAACACGGTAACTTTCGCACGCTGTATTTCTCTCAGTGTACGAGACCCAAGTGCGCCGCTCAGAGGGCCCTTTTACCCAACGAGTGTTCGTGGTGGATGTGTGGAGCGATGCCACCATCTCTTTCCTACTTTCCTCTCTTTTCCACCTCCCTTCTCCCTCTCTTTCCCGCTTCCCTGCTCCGTCTCTTCCTCCATCCCTCTCTCTCCGCTGCAGGGCTACAGCCCTTTAAGTGTGTCGTTCACTGAAGACCCCTCAACCCAGAGGGTATACGTGGCGGATATGTGGAACGATGCTCCCAGTAGTGGCGGCTGGCAGGGCGGGGTGGCCAAGACACAGGCGCAGCTGCAGCAGGCCCACTTATGCCAATCTTCCTGCTTTCCCCCCAACCCCTGCAGGGCTTCACACCTTTGAGTGTATCCTTCACAGAGGACCCCTCAACCCAGAGAGTATATGTGGCGGATGTGTGGAACGATGCGCCTAGCAGAGGCGGCTGGCAGGGCGGGGTGGCCAAGACTCAGGCGCAGCTGCAGCAGGCCCTGGCTCAGCTGCTGCCTCCCCTGGTTCCCACCTTCGTCAAGGCGTACACTGTTGGGTATCAGGTGAGGGTGAGGGGATGAGAGAATCAAGGGCGGATATTGGTATGAGAGGATGGGGGGAAGATGGGAGGAGCGGAGAATGTGAGGATGAGGGGAGGATGAGGGAAAGATGGGAGGATGAGGGGAGGTTGGGAGGATGGGGCTATGTGTGGGCCGCCTGCCTGCTATCCGCTCAAGTCTCCTGTCCTTATACATTGTCTTTTAGTTGCTCGCTCGCTCCCTCAACCAGCCTCCTCTCCTTGTGTCTCCTCCTTTTTCTTATTGTTTCCCTTTCCCATCCAGGTCTTCTATGCATACATCGCTCGAGCAGCATCCTCCCCTCCACCCCGCTCCACCCTCATGACTGAAATCAGCCGCAGCACCTTTGAGCTGCTCGCTCCCTCACGCACCCGCTTCTTGTCCTCTCCCCTCCTGCCCGTGCTATTTCATATTCCCACATCAACAGGTCTTCTATGCATACATTGCCCGGGCTACATCCTCCTCGCCACCCCGCTCCACCCTCACGACTGACGTCAGTCGCAGTGCTTTTGAGCTGCTCGCTCGCTCCCTGAAACAGCCGCCTCTCCTCGTGTCTTCGTACGGGCCGTTGGATGGGGGTGCCCAGGAAAGTGATGCTCCTGGGTCCGGGGAAAGGTATGCTGTGCTGTGGCAGACAGATGGGCTGGGGATAGAGGAAAGAGCAGGAGAGAGTGCTGGGCTGGCTTACTGATAGAATCAAGCGATATGGTTCGAAGAGGATTAGTTATTGTGAATTGGAGCTGTGATATGTGTGATGTGGTGGTCATTTGGCACACGGGGGATGAGGGTTTGGGATCGCATGTTTGTGACTAGATGGTGACTTTCTTCTTCTCAATGGCATTGTATGAAGCTGTGTGAACCGTTCACAACATGCATGAAACTCTGCATAAGTAAGATACCATTTGTGGTTCTTACAGAAAAAGGGTGCTCAAGGTTTTGCGTTGTAATGGCGAGCTGTTACCGAGGATAGGAACCTTCAGGTGGTCTTGTTAGTTGGTGGGATTGCATTTGCACAGTGCGGGCTGGTCATGTAAACGCGGTTTCAGGCGCCCGACAAAACATCGAGGTTTGTCGCCATTTGCCCATCTGCCCATCGGGTCAGTGGTGGGTGTGGAGAGGAGGAGGTAGGGGAGAGGGGGCGACGTGAAGGGGTTCCCCCCTAGGGTCACTGGTTTGGTGGTGGTGTGTGAAAAGTGAAACAAATCTCGTCTCGTCGATTCGATCACTCGACTGCCCGTGACTCCACGTTCACGTTCCAAACAAAAAAAGGACGACACGTTCGGCTGCCCGTGTTGGTCAGAACAGGGACCAGTGTGCTTTCACCAACTGCCCTACTGTCTACCGTATGCCGAACAACGTCAAATCTTTCGATCCGCATGAAACAGGGCAGCAGAAGAAAATGCAGCAATTCCGCGTTATTTTGGCAGATGTATACTGGCGTTGTTCTGCAGGCGTTATTGGCGCCGCACCAATTTGACCGCCGTAGCCTTCTGCGTAATTTCTAAGCGCATTCACGCTGGTTGCGTTGCACGGAAATTGCTGCCTCGCATAACTTGTGCGGAGGCTGATGCTAGCTCCCGAGGTAGAATCAGCACCGCACAAGTTGTGCAGCCATTTGCCCGGCGAAGCAACAACTTCGAACCTGCAGACGATTAAACTTGTGCGCCCTAAAAGTAGTGTTCTGCAGGCGAGAGAGTTAAATTTGGCGCGAACAGGTTTGGTAGGAATTCGCTTATCATCGAACCTTGATAGGCAGAAAACCACTTATCGGCGAAGATTCTGCGGACCCAGTTTCCCGAAATTTAACGCCTACAGAACAGCGCCTCTATAGTCCTGAACTGTACTGTACTTGATGTATCGTACAGAGCAGAAAAGAAGCCCTGGGATTTTCGTGTTTTCTCTTTGGGAGCTCCTCGGGAATTCCACTGTTGGTAACTTCTGTTCCCAAATTATCATCGAAGTCCGGACTGACGGGCAAACCGGGTTGTGCAGGGGCTTGTGTGACTGGCAATTGCTGCATGAGTTGGAGCAGGGTTCTGTTGTGATGTGAGCTATCCTCTCACCTGCATTTCGGCGAGAAACGGATTCTAGGAAGTCGCGAGAGAAAATACCAATACCAAGACCGTCGTCGACTCTCGCGAACTTAGTCCAAGTCTTAGTAACTTATACCAGAGCGGGATTGGGTTACAGACGGATAGAGACATTTGGAATAAGCCCAACGGTTATCAGTGTAGGGCCTCACTCTGCTCGACTCGTCACGCTCAGCGTGGTCCCTAGATTCAGCGTGGAGCTTTTCAGAAAGACACCATGCGGAAACCCTGTATTTTCAAAACGGCGACATAGCCTCGTCTCACGCTAGCTCTATCACGTTCTGAACTCTTCCGCGCGTTTCTCGCGATTAGGGCATCGGCCACCACTCCGACCCGTTTTTACCGTGACATATTGAAACAAAAGAAGGTGTAGCTCCGGAGTCGACGGCCTCGGTATCGAGGCTCCGCGTAGCTTTCGCGGACGACGACCGGGAGACGAAAATGTCGCCGTGCGATAGAATCGTCGCTATGTGTCGTCCCGCTAGCAGTGTAAAGCACCGACATCTTAGCGAAACGTGTAGAGCTCAGAGACAAGACTCCTGGAGATTCGCGACGAGTCAAATGCTCCGCCTCGCCGTTCTGACGTTTGTGCTATTATCGACTTCACCCTTAACGCGGACGCAATCAGGTTCGTGGTTTCTGCGAGTTTCGACCGTCAATGTTTCATCCCGAAGCTACTCGTAACTGAAGCGGTTTCCGTCCGTTCAGTCCGTTTTCTCCCCCATCCGTCCATTCTTTCCTCTTCCGTCGCTTTTGCTAAAAAATGTCAACTCTGCACGCATGCTCGATGCGTCATCGTGTGCATCCCTTTTCCTTGTGCTCTTCTCATTCAGCACGTCCGTCTCCCGTCCTGCCATTCTGCCGTCCCAACCTTCTTCCGCCTGGCATTCTGCCGTCCTGTCATTCTGCCATGTTTCTTTCCTCCACCGTCTTTCCGTGCTTCTTGCTCTCCTCGTGTGTTCTTACCAGTGTGCAAACCGGCAAGCCGTCGTTTACGTGACGGAAACCGGCACCGCGACCGGCTGCTGCGGAACAGCGCAGAGGCCGTGTGGTGAGTCGTGAGGGCAAGACACGGCGGAACGGGGAAGGGGGAGTGGGGGAGTGGGGAGGGTGGAGGGGGGAGAGCGGAGGGGGGAGGGGGGAAGGGGGAGGGGGGAGGAAGGGTTAATGGGGAAGGAAGGGGAGGGGGGTATAGCGCAGAAGTCGTGCGGCGAGTCATGAGGGAACGGTCTGGGAAAAAGGGGAGGCGAGGGGGGTGGGGATGAGGGATGGGAATCGAGAGGCGGGTGGAGGGAAGGGGGTGAGGGGGAAGGGGTCGTAGCGCAGAGGCCGTGCGGTGAGTCGTGTCGTCAGGTTGCTTACATCCTGCCTTCGCGGCAAGTGAGCGATTGACGGCATCCACCCTCTGCTAAGTCTGCTTTCATGCGTGACGGCGTCAACGCGTGCTCGTCGTGTGCTCTTCGTGTGTCCCCCCTCTCCCCCCGTCTATCTCCAGACGTATTCTGCTTTCTAACCGTCTTCCGCCCCTCTTCTCCCGAACTCCCTCCTCGTCATCCCTCCCTTTTTCCCCCATCCCGCTGTCCTTCCTCTGACTTCCCTTGCCCCAACCACTCCCCTCTTCCTCCTCTTTCCTCCCTTTCCTCCCTTTCCCCCACTTCTCCCCCCCTCCCTCTCCCCCCCCCCCCCAATCCCCCCCTCCCCCCTTTTCTAAATTCTGCCCCTGTCCGTCTCGTCAATCCGTATCGCAGGCTCTCTCGACCTTGCCCTCACCAAGTGAGTCTCTCATGCTCCTTTAATTTTATTTGATTTGACTCGTGCCCTTAACTTCCACCTGCTTTCTACCATTCTATGACTTAACCTGAGCTTGTAACCCTCCCCCTCCCCTCCCCCCCCCCCCTCCCCTCCCCTCCCCTCCCCTCCCCTCCCCTCCCCTCCCCTCCCCTCCCCTCCCCTCCCCTCCCCTCCCCTCCCCTCCCTCCCTGCCCCACTTATGCCCTCTCTCCTTTCTTCCTTTTGTCCACTTCCTCCCTCCCTCCGCCCCCTTCCCCCTGTGACCATTCTGTTCGCCAATGGCATCATCCTCTTCTCCTCCTTGTTCTCCCCCCCCCCCCCCCCCCCCCCCCTTTCCCCCTCCGCCTCCCTCCCCGCTTCCCCCCAACACCCGATTTCCCCCGCACCACCACCCGACAATTCCCCCACCATCTCAGCGCGGATGTCAAGGGAGCGACCATCGTGGTGGTCAACGGCACCATCCCCATCTCCTTCTCTACACTCTCCGCGCCTCTCGCGCTCGGCGGTTACTCCCTCACCATAGCCGCAGGCTCGCTCTCCTCCCCCTCCCCCACGCCCCCCGCTAAACTCACATCCAAGCCGCTCATCAACTGCAAAAACGGGCCCTGCCTGAGCGCCGTTTGTGCCTCTAACGGGGGTGCTGCAGGGGGTGCCGCTCCTGCTGTGCCGTGCGCGCAGGCGAGTGTGATTGTACAGGGGGTTGCTGTGATGAGCGGGCTGAACCGGAAGGCCGGAGGGGGGTGCTTGGAAGCGGCGAACCAGAAGGTGACTCTAACGAGCGTGGATTTCGCGAGCTGCATCGCGTACCTTAATGGCGGCGCCGTCTCCATTTCGTCATCCATGGATGTGACTATGACGGGTGTGACTGTGTTCGACTCGAAGGTCACCCAAGGGGGCATCGACGGTGGTGGCGGCGGCATTGCCATCTTCTGTGAGTTTCTCTCATGCCGCCCTTCCAGTTCCAGTCAGCCTCTGTTCCCTCTACCTCTCCTCCTCCCCCCTCCTCCTCCCCTCTCCTCCTCTCCTCTCCTTCTCCCGCATCAACGTTGGGCTCCCACCCCTTTCCGCCCCCTGCAACCCCTCCCTCTCCCCGCCTCCTGCACACCCCTCCCTCTCCCCGCCTCCCCTCTCGTACACCCCCCCCCCCCCCCCCCTCCCCTCCCTCCCCCCAGCGTCCAAGGCAACACTGTCGGGTCTGGACGAGAGCGTGGGGGGCGGAATCGCCATCTACCCGACCACCCTCTCCCTCTCCTCCTCCTCCATCTCCGGATTCTTCTCCCGCTTCCCCTCTTCCTCCCCTCTCTTTCTCTCGCATAAACGTTGTGATTTCACCCCATCCCCCCACCTGCAACCCCCTCCCTCCGCCCATCACCCCCACTCCCCTCTCATACCCCCCCTCCCAGCATCCAAGGCAACACTGTCGGGTCTGGACATTCAGTCATGCCACGCGGACGAGAGCGTGGGGGGCGGAATCGCCATCTACTCAACCACCCTCTCCCTCTCCTCCTCCTCCATCTCCGAATGCTCCTCTCGCTTCCTCGGCGGCGGACTCGCCTCCTCCTCCTCCACCGTCACACTCAAATCCGTCCAAATCACCAGCACCAACGGCAGCTCTGGGGGTGCTTATCCGACGCCTCCTCTCAGTCTCTTTCTGTCCAATCCTCCACTTTTTTCGGGTGTTTCGCCGCGTCGTCCCGGGATTACGCCCCTTATAGCGACGACCCGTCGTACGGTGGGGGTTTTTTCCTTAACGGGACAGTATCTACAGTGGTTCTAGACTCCACTATTGATTCGACTACGTCTGTGTATGGTGGAGGCGGAATCTACGGCATGGGCACGACCTCAATCTCGATCCAACGGTCCACAATCACCCGCTGCACGAATTACATGGAGAGCGGGACGGGGATTGGTGTGGATTGTTGGAACCTGGACACAATCACAGGAAGCGTGGAGTTAATTGATAGTAATATCCTGGATAATACGGGGTATTCGGAGGTTAACCTCGGGGTCGGGGTGTATTTATCGGATGTCAATGCGGTGGTGCGCGGTTGCAATATCTCGGGGAACAACGGGCTGATGACGGAGGGGCTTAAAGCCCAGGGAGGGGGTATCAGCACGAACGTGTATTCCAAGACTGACGTCACGTTTGAGCTCACCAACTCCACCGTCAGCAGCAATTCGGTGAGTGCAGTGTGGTGAGGTGTGGTGTGGTGCAGTGCGGTGCGATGCTGTTGGTTTTGGTGAGGTGTGGTGGTAGTGGCTGGCAGGTAAAGGTGGCGTTGGTGTTAAAAGGCCTTCTGCATCCCGTCTCTCTCTTCTCCCTCTATCCTCCTCTCTCTGTTTTCCCAGGCGTACATGGGTGGAGGACTCTATATCGCATCACCTGCAGTCACCATCACCAACGTCACTTTTGGCTACAACTATGCCGTCGCTTCAGGAGGCGGAGGTGAGTCCCTCCTCTGCTTCATTGCTATTGATGAAAATTGGATCGTGTCTCACTTCAAACAGAGATGCCTGCAGTCACCATCACCAACGTCACTTTCGGCTACAACTATGCCGTTGCTTCAGGAGGCGGAGGTGAGTCTTCCTTCTTGACATCCGCAAGCCTGCTTTCTTGACCCATGAAGACCATTGAGTTGTCTTCACGATATCCGAGAGTCCGTATCAAGAGAAGGAGGTGGGCCTATTTGTCACTAGAGGTCCAGTGTTAGTGTGTGTGCGTTGCTTTCATAGCCCCCTTTTTCGCCTCCTACTCGCACACATGCAGTCTACTGGCTGGATGGCGGCAGCATGGCGAAGAGCAGAGTGGAGGGCAACGTGGGGGACATGGGGCGATGAGACCTGCTGCACTCCTTGCAATCCCTCTCAACCGCATTCTTTCCCTCGGCACACTTCCCACCATGCGCAGTCTACTGGCTGAGCGGTGGCAGCATGGCAAAGAGTCGAGTGGAGAGCAACGTGGGGGACATGGGGGGGGGCGGCATGGCAGTCAACACGATCAACCCCATCACTGTGGACGATTGTGACTTTGTTGCTAACGAGGCCACCACTGGGGAGGGTGGAGGCGTGCTTATAACGGAGGTAAGGCTACTCCTCACACTTTTTCTGTCGTGATCATAAGCAGCTGTTTTCCACTACTCCTTAGTTACCCCCTCCCCCTACTCCTCCCACCCCCTACCCCCACTTGCCACTCCCCAACTATCTCTGCCCTTCCTTTCCGCTCTCTCCCCTTCGTTTCCCTTCTCTGCCTCTCCCCCCCCATCAGGGCGAAGCCACAGACGTGACAATCAGCAACAGCCGCTTCTCTCAGAACAAGGCAATGGCAGCGCGAGGAGGGGGGGTGCGATTAGCTCCTTTAACTTGCCTTAAACAACCTTTCTGTTCCCCTCTCTCCCCCTCTTTTTCTCTCAGGGCGAAGCCACAGATGTGACAATCAGCAACAGCCGCTTCTCTCAGAACAAGGCAATGGCAGCGCGAGGAGGGGGTGTGTTCCACAGCGGGACAGCCCTCTCCCTCCTCTCCACCTCCTTCCAAAGCAACTCCGCTGCTAAGGGCGGCGCACTGGCTATCGTCGGCTCTGTCCTCTCCTCTTCCTCTCCCTCTGCTCCCTCCGCTCCCGCTGTCTCCACCGTTGCTACAGTAACCTCCTCCTCTTTCTCCCTCAACCATGCTGACCTGGCGGGCGGCGCGGTCTACGCCGCCATGACCGGCGACGCGCGAATCACCGACTGCCAGCTGTCGCAGAACGACGCGACGACAGGTGGCGGCGTGACATTGGAGGAGTATAGTGTGCTGGACATGCAGAGGAGCGTGTGTGACAATAACAAGGCGATATCTGGGGGAGGGTGTTTGGCGCTGATTGACTCTACATCCAGTGTGATTGTAAAGGGGGAGATGAAGGGAAATAAGGGAGGGAGCGAGGGAGGGGGGGTTCGTGTGAGCGGGTCTGCGAAGTTGAGTGTATCGGGGGTGATTATTGAGGGGAACAGCGCGGATGGGGGTGGGGGGTTTGTCTGGGCAGAAATGGATTCTCAGGTGAATGCGACGGGCACCACGTTTCGAGACAATTCTGCCCGGTTTTACGGCGGAGTGATCTACGCCGTCCATTCGGCCAGGGTAGATCTCACAGGATCGGATCTGATCGCAAACAGCGCGGATCTGGGCGGCGCGGCGCTGATCGAGGGGCGGGCAGTTTTGTCCTCTTTCAACTCGTCGTTTTCTGAGAATGCGGTCCATGCAGTGATGGTGAGAGGCCAGGCAGTGGCAACCATCATCGGTGGTAGCTTCAGCAACAACACAGCTGCCAGCATCCCTCCCTCTTCCTCCTCTTCCTCCTCTTCCTCCTCCTCCTCCTCTGCGTCTGCTGCGGCAGTTGCCGATTCCCCTTCAACCGCTCCCACTCCCACCACCGCCGCCACTGCTACCGGATTTTCCGACTCAGCCTATCCTTTCTCGCCTTCCATTCGCATGGCTGCTGCCTTTGCTGCAGCAGTCACCTCCTCTATCGAATCGGCTAGCTTGAACACCAAAGGCCTTACTGCTAGAATCCTTGCTGCTGCTTCTTCTCCTTCCGCTCCTGCTGCTGCCGGTGTAGCTGGGAATGTTACCGCCGGCCAAGGCAGTAATAGCACGGCGGCAGGAGCAACAACAGCAGCAACAGCAACAGGAGTGGTGAGCCCTATGGGCGACGGTGGGGCGCTCCATATCACCGACTCCGCCATCCTCGTTATAAACAGCTCCACTCTCGCCGGCAACACTGGGAGCAGCGGCGGCGCGATCTTCTCCGATGCCCTCGCGACCGTCTCGATCAACGGCTGCGATTTCACCTCAAACGCTGCCAGCAAGGGAGCAGGAGCCCTGGCCACAGGGAATTCAACCCTCTCTGTCTTCCTCTCTAACTTCACCTCGAATGCAGCGTCGTTCGGAGGAGGCGGGCTGTTCTACGAGGGAAACTCGCAGGGAAGCATCTTGAACTGCTCGTTTGTGGGGAACGATGCCAAGAAGGGAGGCGCGGCTGTGTATGTGGATCGGGAGCTTCTCCGGAAGAACCCCCTGGGGGAGATGACTGACAGCAGCAGTGGTAACAGCACCGGTGACAGCAGCAGCAGCAGCGGCGGTGGTGACAGCAGCAGCGGCGGTAGTGGAAGCGAGGGCGGGTCATCAGACAGTAGCAGCGGCAGCAGCGGCGGGTCATCGGAGCCTTCTCTCCCGCCGGCCGTGTCATTCAACAACAACCTGACGTGCGCCAACGTGGTGTTTGAGCGCAACGCCGCAGTGCCCAGCCAGGGCGTGGCGTTCTTTGACACGTCCTTCTGGCCGGGCGTGAGAATCACCTGCGCCGACGCTGACAGCACCAAGCGAGACACCATCGGCACCCCTCCCACGTCCTTCTCTCTCATGTGAGTGTATGTTATGTGCATGTGAGTGAGTGTGCCTTGGGAGTCCTTGGGTGCATTGGTTGCCTTGAGTGCCCAGCCAGGGCGTGGCGTTCTTTGACACGTCCTTCTGGCCGGGCGTGCGTATCATGTGCGCCGACGCTGACAGCACCAAGCGGGACACCATCGGCACCCCTCCCACGTCCTTCTCGCCTTGTGTGCTTCTCTCCTCTCTCCTCTCCTCTCTCTCACGTACATGCCCTGCCCCTTCTCACAAAGTGATCTCTCACATCGTCTCCCGTTCTTCCTTTGCCTTTCTCCTCTCCTTTCCCTTCCCTCCCTTCCCTGCCCCCCCTTCCCCCCCGCACAACCACACCCACAGGTGGGAGAATAATGTGCTGGAAGGGGGAAACAGCACCTATACATCGCAGCCGTTCACAGTGATGGGAGACACGCAGACGCCCATCGTCAATATGACCGTCACCATCCCCCCACCTTCCCTCCCTTCCCTTCCCTGCCCCCCCTGCTCCCCCGCACAACAACCACCCGCACAGGTGGGAGAATAATGTGTTGGAAGGGGGTAACGCCACGGACACATCGCAGCCGTTCACAGTGATGGGGGACACGCAGACGCCCATCGTCAACATCACAGTCACCATCCTAGACGCCTACGGCAACGTCGCCACTGACGACTTCTCCTCCATCATCGCCATCCAACCCCACCCCCGCATCTCTCACCCCCTCTCCCTTTCTTCTTCCCTCTTTCCACTTCCTCTCTTCCCTTCCCACAGGTGGGAGAAGAATGTGCTGGAAGGGGGAAACAGCACAGACACCTCGCAGCCGTTCACAGTGATGGGGGACACGCAGACGCCCATCGTCAACATCACAGTCACCATCCTAGACGCCTACGGCAACGTCGCCACCGACGATTTCTCCTCCATCATCGCCATCCAGCCCGACCCTCGCATCTCTCTCCCCGTCTCCCTTTCTTCCTTCCCTCTTTCCCCCTCCTCCCTTCCCTTCCGCTCCCTTCCCTTCCCACAGGTGGGAGAATAATGTGCTGGAAGGGGGTAATGCCACGGACACCTCTCAGCCGTTCACAGTTATGGGGGACACGCAGACGCCCATCGTCAACATCACAGTCACCGTCCCCACCTTCCGTCCCTTCCCTTCCTGTTGTTCCCTCCCTTCCCTCCCTTCACTGCCCCCCCTAACCCCCCTGCCAACCCACCCCCACAGGTGGGAGAATAACGTACTGGAAGGGGGTAATGCCACGGACACATCTCAGCCGTTCACAGTGATGGGGGACACGCAGACGCCCATCGTCAACATCACAGTCACCATCCTAGACGCCTACGGCAACGTCGCCACCGACGACTTCTCCTCCATCATCGCCATCCAGCCCGACCCCCGCATCTCCGGCCTCCTCCGCGCCACCGCGCTCCGCGGCCGGGCAGTTCTTCCGCCCGTTTCCCTCGTCCTGCCACCCGAAGAAGCCGCGAATTTCACCCTCCCGATCACCGTCAGCAGCCCGACGGACGCGTATCCACCAATCACGCGCGAGCTTGAGTTTGGGTTGTGCGATCCGGGGAGCTATTTCTCCCTGGATGATCTCGCTTGCCTGCCGTGCGAGGTGGGGTATATGTGTCCAGCGGGGCAGGGGTCTGTGGTGTGTGAGGATGGGACGTTCAGCTTTCTTCCGGCTGCGAGCGAGTGCGTGACCTGTGCGGACACGGTTACGATTCTCGGGGATAATGCGATGGATTGCACCAATGGCACCTGCACGATCGCTGCGGATTTCTGGTTGGACCCGGGGAGCGTTGACTCTGACAACCCCGCAGTGTACTACTGCGACGTGTCGAGTACGTGTCGTCTCCTCACCCCTCCTGCCTCCTTTGCATCTTGCATCACGCGCTCTACCTTCCTCGTTTTTGTCCTTCCTCTCTTTCGCCGTGCCTCTCTTTTGGCACGCCTCTCTTTTGGCACGCCTCTCTTTTGGCACGCCTCTCTTTTGGCACGCCTCTCTTTTGGCACGCCTCTCTTTTGGCACATGTATGGCCCACATCGCGCCCAGCATCTCCCACTTGGCTCATTCTTCAACCTCACCAGTTTGCTGCCACTTCCTCTCCTTCCGCCCCCTCTCCTTCTGCCTCCGCGTGCTCTTCTTCCGCCTCTGTCCCGGCACCCCTCCCAGACGGCTGTGCGGGATTCGAGTACGCGTCCCCCAACGACACGCAGTGCTCCGAGGGGTACAAGCAGAACCGCCTCTGCTCCATGTGCTCCGAAGGCTACTACTCAGTCATCGGCACGTGCTACCAGTGCACGTCCTGGATGGAGACGGTGAGTGCCTTGGGGGCTGGGTTGGGACCCTTGCGCTGCTCGACTTGCGCTGCTCCCCTTGTTCTGCTCCCCCTGCTCTGCTCTCCTTCCTCTGCTCCATGTGTTCGGAAGGCTACTACTCAGTCATCGGCACGTGCTACCAGTGCACCTCCTGGATGGAGACTGTGAGTGCCTTGGGAAATGGGGACCTTGCTCTTGCTCTTGCTCTTGCTCTGCTCCTGCTGCGCATGCTCCCCCGGTCACGTGCACTCATCCAATCTCGACCATTTCTCCCCCCTCTGCCCCCTCCTCCCATCCCCAACCACCCCCCTTTTTTGTCCCTTCCGCAGCTTTTCTGGTTCTTCTTCGTGCTCGTGATCCTGCTGTGGGTGGCAATGGCCGTGTTTTGAGTCGATTCAAAAGCCCCCTCTACCCCCTCCCCTCTCACCTCCCCAACAAACCCCCTTTTGTCCCTTGTGCAGCTCTTCTGGTTCTTCTTCGTGCTGGTGATCCTGCTGTGGGTGGCAATGGGCTGACCTCTGAGTCGACTCAAAATCCCCCTTTATCCTTTTCCAACTCTCTACCCCCACCCCAACGCTCCCTTTCATCCCTTGTGCAGCTCTTCTGGTTCTTCTTCGTGCTCGTCATCCTGCTGTGGGTGGCGACGGCCGTCTTTTCTGACCGCTTCCACTCGGTGTCGATGATGAACAGTGAGCTGCAGATCCTGGCAGTGCTGGGGTCCGTGGACCTGCAGTTCCCCGACTGGGCGAGAAAGGTGGTGGAGCTTTCAACACTCAGCCTCTTCTCCGTGGTACGTGGGTAGGGCATTCCACTGGAAGGTTGGTTCACTGAGAGCAGCCCACCTGGCGTGAGAGGTCTCAGTGTCGATGATGAACAGTGAGCTGCAGATCCTGGCAGTGCTGGGGTCCGTCGACCTGCAGTTCCCTGACTGGGCGAGAAAGGTGGTCGAGCTCTCCACCCTCAGCCTCTTCTCCGTGGTACGTGGTTGATTCACCGAGAGCAGCCCACGCACATGGCATGACAGAGGTGGGTGGGTGGAGGGATGATGAACAGTGAGCTGCAGATCCTGGCAGTGCTGGGATCCGTCGACCTGCAGTTCCCTGACTGGGCCCGGAAGTTCGTGGAGCTCTCTACCTTAAGTCTCTTTTCTGTGGTAAGTGGCTGAGTCATCCCTCATTAACTCGCCACTCACTTGCTCACCGACTTACTGGTGTGGGCCCACCGAAAGAGCAGCACACATGGCATGAGATGGGAGGTGGGTGGGTGGTGTGGGTGATGAACAGTGAGCTGCAGATCCTGGCAGTGCTGGGGTCGGCGGACCTGCAGTTCCCCCACTGGTCCCGGAAGGTCGTCGCTGCCGTGGGTCTCGCAGAGTCACCTTCCTATTCCCCCTACCCTATGTATGCACCCTCACCGCTCCCCCCACTCCCGCTCCCCCCTAACCTCTGCCCCCCCCCTCGCAGGAAGTCCTGGGTCCCGACTGCAAGGTGCCTTTCCCCTTCACGTCTCGCTGGGCGCTCACAATGATAGTCGCTGCCGTGGGTCTCGCCGCCTACGCGCTGCTCTTCGCCATCCAGCGCACCCTCCGCCACTTCCTCCCCTCATCCTCCCACTCCTCCCAATCACACGGCCACGCGGGAGGGAAGGGAGGAGGGAAAGGAGGAGGGAAGGGGGGGAGATTGGGGGGGACAGGCCGTCGGCGAACCCACCGGCCCCTCTGGAGGATATTTATATTCACGGGGCGGCTAACTGGCTGGACGTGTGCTATCTGCCCATCACCGTGCGCTGCTTTCAGGTGAGCCCTCCCTTTCCGGGTAGGCCCTCCCCTTCAGGTGAGCCCTCCCATTCAGGTGAGCCCTCCCATTCAGGTGAGCCCTCCCCTTCAGGTGAGCCCTCCCCTTCAGGTGAGCCCTCCCCTTCAAGGCGAGCCCTTCACTGGATGGTACCTCCCCTTCCAGGTGAGCCCTCCCCATCCAGGTAAGCCCTGCACTGGGTAAGCCTAGCTCCACTTCCTATCTCCCTCCCTTCCCCCCACCCCTTCTCCTCCCCACCACAGGCCTTTTCCAAGAGTACATATGATGAGACAGTGATGACCTTTTCCCCAACGGACCTGTGGAGCAGCAGTGCGCGCATCACGCTGTTTGCGCTGGCCATCGCCATCACCATCGTCTTTGTGGCCGGCGCGCCCATCTACTACGCGCTCACCATGCTCTACGGGAAGAAGCAGAAGCTTCTGGACACGCGTGCGTTCCGCGCGCGCTGGGGTTGGATGGTGACGCGATACGAGTACCGCTATTTCTACTGGCACCTCATGCTGTTTGCAAGGAGGATTCTGGTTTCTGCTCTCTTTGTCTTCCTCGTTGATTCGCCCCCGGTCCAGGTATGTTTGTTTGCTAGGAAGGGGGGCGATGGTCATTGTTGCTGGCAGGGTGTGGTAATTGTTGCTGGCAGAGGGGCGATGGATGGTGACGCGATACCAGCACCGGTACGGTACTTGCTACTTTTGGGACGTCTCAAAAGTCGTGATACGAGTACCGCTATTTCTACTGGAACCGCATGTTGTTCGCGAGGCGGATTCTCATTGCTGTGCTGCTCGTTTTCCTCATTGACTGCGCTTTCCCAAACTACCCCTTTTTTTCCCTCTCCCCTTCTCTCTATATTCCCTCCCCCCACCAGATGACTGTTCTCTTCCCCGTGCAAGTCATTCTCATCGACCTCCAACTCCTCTTTCCTTACATTGACCTCAACCCCTTCCTCTTCTCCCCTTTCACCTTCTCCCCTTTCACCTTCTCCTCTTTCACCCGCCTCCCCCCTCCCCACCAGATGACTGTTCTCTTCCCCGTGCAAGTCATTCTCATCGGCCTTCAGCTCGCCGCCTCCCCCTTCGTCGCCTCAACTCACGACGCGTTCGCAGCGATCCTCATTGTCGCTGAAATGCTCTTCATCATCGCCTCATCCCCAATCCCCCTCTTTTCCCTCTCTCCCCTCCCCGCTCTCTCCTCTCCCGCCCTGCTTCCCCCCCCTCCCCCCCACCGCACCACAGATGACTGTTCTGTTCCCCGTGCAAGTCATCCTTATCGGCCTCCAGCTCGCTTCCTCCCCTTTCCTCACCTCAACCCACAACCCCTCTCTTTTCCCCCCCAACCCAATCCCCGCCCTCCACCCTCCACCCCCCACCAGATGACTGTGCTCTTCCCCGTGCAAGTCATCCTTATTGGCCTTCAGCTCGCCGCCTCCCCCTTCGTTGCATCAACCCACGACGCGTTCGCAGCGATCCTCATCGTCGCGGAAATGATCTTCATCATCGCCACCATGGGGGGTACAACATCATCTCCTCAACCCCAATCCCTCTCTTTTCCCTCTCTCCCCTCCCGCTCTCTCCTCTCCCGCCCTGCTTCCCCCCACTCCCCCCCACCACCAGATGACTGTTCTGTTCCCCGTGCAAGTCATTCTCATCGGCCTCCAGCTCGCCACCTCCCCCTCCCTCACCTCAACTCCAATTCCTCCTCTTCTCTCTCCCCATTTCTGTCCCTCTCTACCCTTCTGCCTTCCCCCTTCCCCACTTCCCACTACCCGTCCCTTCGCCCCCTCCCTCCACCACCAGATGACTGTTCTCTTCCCCGTGCAAGTCATTCTCATCGGCCTCCAGCTCGCCGCGTCCCCCTTCGTCGCCTCAACCCACGACGCGTTCGCAGCGATCCTCATCGTCGCCGAAATGATCTTCATCATCGCCACCATGGGGTACAGTGCAGCTCGAAACGCTCCCTAAGATCGGCTTCGCGCTCGTCATCGTCGCCTTCTGCGTCCCCACCCTCATCGTCTTCTCCTACGAGCTAATCAACCACCTCCTAGTCTGGAAAGTCCACGGCGCAGCCAAAAGCCTCTGGGCTCTAGACGATCTCGGGGAAGGCGGGGACGGAGGGGACGGAGCAGCAGGGGGGAAGCCCGGAGCAGGGGCGACGAGCAACAAGCCGCCGAAGCATGTCAGGGAGGGAGCAGTGGAGGTGTCTCCTAGTGATGTGCTGGACTGGTTCCGCCCGCACATTGCAGCTATCATCCTGCTCCCGGGCCGGGAGGAGGAGCGGAGGCTCCTCATGAAGGTTCGCCGAGCCTACGAGGCCTGCTGCTACCCCCTCAACTCTGCCGCCGCTGCTGCTGCTGGTGCTGCTGGAATTGCTGCCGGTGCCGCTGGTGCTGAGACCAGCAACGGCACTGCTGCCGCTGCCTCCTCTTCCTCGTCCACTGCCCTAGTTCCGGCCCCGGAATTCGGAGACACGTCCTGGATCAAGGACTTGAACAAGTCGCAGCGCTTCGCGGCGCTGCATCAGATTGTGCTGGGAGCGGCCGTAGGGAGGCGTCCCGTTGCCCGCGTGCCCTTCGATGCTCGCGACGTGCCAGCTATCTGGACCACCTCCGGAGGGGTCGTCATCGCTGGTATGGGCGCTGTTCCTACCACTAGCGGCGGCGGTGGCGGAGGCGGGGGGATGGGAGGGCAGGAGAGCGAGCGGGGGGATATTGCGTCTGGGGGAGGGCTGAGTTTCCGGTATGGGGTCGGCAGTACTAGCTTTTATGGTGGTCCGGGCGGTGGTCCGGGCGGTGGTCCGGGCGGCGGGCCGGGCAGCGGGGTGGGCAGCGCAAGCACCCGCGTGCACGACATCCTGGCATCCTCGCGGTTCATCAGCAAGGCGATGCGGGAAAACGCCAAGACAGACCGCCCGGCGCTGGTGCGCTCGAAGAACATCTCGATCAAGAATCTCCGGCCGCCCAAGCCGCCCCAGCCGCTGCCGCAGGACCTGTGGCCGCCGGCCCTGGAGGAGTGCGCCACGTGGGCTCACGTGATTGGCCGGCAGCAGGCTGCTCAAATGGAGAGAGACGCTGCTCTGGCGGAGGGGAGGGAGGAGGAGGAAGAGGAGGAGGACGAGGGGGCCAAGGAAGAAATGGCAGGCGCTCCTGCTGGGTATGCAAACGGCGGTTCGGAGAAACCGAACGGTGCTGCTGCTGGCGGTGCTGCGAATGGAGGCGAGACGAATGGAGAGGGAGAGGAGGATGAGGAGGACGAGGAGGAGGAAGAGGAGGAGGAAGGGGAGTATCTGGAGGCTTGGTTGGACAGTATGGGATCTCTCTGGCGTTTCAGCAGAGCTTCTCCCAGCTGACTCTGGTGGAGAAGAAGAGGAAGCCTCAGTCGCTGCGCCGCTTATTGACGTCCGTGAAGCTTCCAGACATCCTCGGCTGGCTGTCATCCCCCCTCTGGTGAGTGCTTCCCCCCTGTGGTGAGGCTCGTTAGCGCCCCTAGAAAGTGCCTTGAGAGTGCAGTGCGCTGAAGGTACTTCTTGCAGCTGACTCTGGTGGAGTTTAAGAGGAAGCCCCAGTCGCTGCGCCGCCTGCTCACGTCTGTTAAGCTCCCAGACATCCTTGGCTGGCTGTCATCCCCCTTATAGTGAGCCTCGTTAGTGCAGTGAGAGAGCAGTGAGCTGTGAGGGTTGCCTGGAGAGTGTGTTGGGCTGTGAGGGCTTTTCTCTGCTGAATCTTTTGGAGAGAAAGTGGCATGTTATTTCCTCTCTCCCTCACTCTCCATCCCTTCTCTCCCTCGATCTTCATCCCCTTTCTTCCTTACTCTTCGCCCTCCCTCTCCACCCCACCCGCAGCACCACTGCCGATCGAGCTCTGTTTGTTCGTCTGCTAGCGGCCGTGCGCGCGGCAACAGTGGAGGATGCGGGCGGCCCGCGTTGGAGCAAGTGCCTCGTGGTGGCGTTTCAGGGGAAGGCCAACACCACGCGCAAAGTGGCAGCAGCAAGGTGAGGGATGTGTGCAAAGATGGGGGCAAGAGGGGGGCGATGTGAGAAGCACCATACGAGTGAGCGTGGCTGGACATACAAACCTACACAAGGCAGTGAGTGTGTCTGGTGGTGGCGTTTCAGGGCAAGGCCAACACCACGCGCAAAGTGGCAGCAGCAAGGTGAGGGTGATTGGGATAACGTGAGGGAAGATGGGGGCAGGCGATGTGAGAAGCGCCATGGGAGTGTGGCAGGACTGGCAGACAGGCAGACCGAACAAGGCTATGAGTGTGTCTTGTGGTGGCGTTTCAAGGGAAGGCCAACACCACTCGCAAAGTGGCAGCAGCGAGGTGAGGGCGATGTGCTAAGGTGGGGGCAAGGGGGGGGGCGATGTGAGAAGGTGAGGGTAAGGGGGGGTTACGATGTTAAAAGGTGAGGGCAATGGTGGGGCGATGTGAGAAGGTGAGTGCAAGGGGCGGGCGATGTGAGAAGGTGAGTGCGATGTGAGACGGGGTTGCTGGACACTTAGATCCACACAAGGCAGTGAGCGTCTGGTGGTGACGCTTTGGATGATACTTGAGCTGCTTTTGTGCTTCCGTCTGTCCCTCTTTCTCTCTGCAATTCTGCAGCAAGGACTATCTGGCAGAAGCATCAGAGCATACACTGGCAGAGGCATCTCAGGAGGACTCACCATATGGCTATGGTGTCTAAAAGGGGATTGGGGAAGCTGGGCTGTCGGAGGGGGGAGCGGAGGGGGGAGCGGAGGGGGGAGTAGGGAAGCTGGCAGAAGCGTCTCAGGAGGATCCACCATATGGCTATGGTGTCTGAGGGGTGCTTGGTTTGGGGTACTCACCAAATGGCCACAAGGAGTGCTTGTCTGATGGGAAGTAGGGGAAGCTGGGTTGTCTGACTGGGTTCCAAGTTCTAACGGGGCTGTGGCGTCCCAAGGTCCACTGGCTGAATGGGAGCCAGTCTTGGGAGAAATTTCATCGGACAGAGGATGGTGGCACTGGCAGCACCATGCATCAGCAGAGTTTTGAGACCGTCTCAAAACTTTAAGGGCATTTCTTGCTATTCTAAAGCCAGTCTTGGGAGAAATTTCATCAGGGAGAGGATGGTGGCAGCAGCATGCATCAGCAGCAGGGGGGGCACGGTTCTGGAATCAGCTGTTCGTTCCGAGAGACCCTTGCCTTGGCAGAGTGATCACACAAAATGGATGTGGGTGCTGCTGCCGTGCTTGTACGATACGAAGAGGAACTGTCGAGTGGACGTGGGTCCATTCTGCACTAGCCATGCCCTTTTGAGGGTGTGGCGAGCTGTAACATGTGTCTGCCTCGTTATTTATTTGTGAAGTATGGAACATGTGTTTGTTACTAGCGGATGGGCATGCTACTGCCATGCCATCCCATGCTATGGTTGTCAGAATGTGATGGTTGTCTAGCCTGCAGTGGGGTACTCTATAGCGAGTACAACCCGAATTAGGGTTTCCAGTATGTACTCAACTGCTTGCTAGTGAAATCCCTCTTTGCCTATTTCTCGTTTTCGCCTAGCCTGTTTAACATGCTATCAGAGCAGGTCGACCCTCCTGGGTCGATCCTGTGGGTGGTCCCACCAGAAGCTTCCGCTGCTGTTTCCTGCCTGCCGCGCGCTCCGGGCGTGCGGCGATTTTTCTTCCCGCCGCGCGCCCACCCCCGTCGACAGTCGCGTCGCCCCCCGCCGGAGCCCGTCGCGTCGCCCCGCGACCCGCGCGTCGCCCCCCGTCGCCCGACGCGGCCCGCGCGACCTGCGCCAGGCCCGCGCGCGGCCCGTACAAGCTACGCCAAGCCCGCGCGCGGCCCTTACGGGCTGCGCCAAGCCCGCGCGCGGCCCGTACGGGCTGCGCCAGGCCCGCGCGCGGTTCGTCCGGCCTGCGCCAGGCCCGTGCGCGGCCCGTACCGTCTTCCCCTGTGCCGCACGCCGTCCCCCGAGCTTCTGACCGCGCCCCCCCCCCCCCGCTGCTGCCCGAGTTCCTGTGTTAGGGTTTGGGGGTGGAGAGTATGGGGGTGCCGTGTGTGTGAGCCGTCCCCTGCTCCTCCTCCTCCTCCGTCTCCCACTGCTGCAGCTGCCGCTGAGGGGGGTGGATGTGTTGGAGCCGTCGGAGTGGTACGAGGGGGGTGGCGTGTGAGCGGTGCTAGTGGTTCAACAGGGAGTGTGTGAACGGGGTGTGGGACAGTTGGGGGAGGTTGACCGGAGGTAGCCGACTAGTCGTCCGCAGCGCCTGAAGTCCAGGGAGCCACGACCCCCTGTGGCCTGAGTAGTCCGGGGCTCTGCGCCCGGTAGCCACAGTGTGAGCACTCCTGGTAGTCCAGAGAGCCACGACCCCCTGTGGCCTGAGTAGTCCGGGGCTCTGCGCCCGGTAGCTACAGTGTGAGCACTCCTGGGAGCACAGCGAGCCAGCTGCGTCTGTCGCCGTGTAGTCCGGGTTTAGCCTGGTAGCGACAGTACTACGCACTCCTGCTGCCCGTGTGTCTGCAGCTTCAGCCGTCGCCTCCCATCTTCTCGCCCCACAGTTTCTCCTCCTCCTCACTTGCTCTCTGTGCTAGCCGCTAGCTTTGCTTATAATTGTGAACTACTGCTCTGCCTGCTTGTTGTATTGATTGTACCCCACTTTGACTATGGGGGTGTGTCAGAATGTGATGGTTGTCTAGCCTGCAGTGGGGTACTCTATAGCGAGTACAACCCGAATTAGGGTTTCCTATATGTACTCAACTGCTTGCTAGTGAAATCCCTCTTTGCCTATTTCTCGTTTTCGCCTAGCCTGTTTAACAATGGTGTATGTTGTGTAGTGTTGCGATTGAGAAAGCTTGCTTCTGTAGCAATTGGCATCGTTCTCATTACAATGGCAATTGGCATCGTTCTCATTACAATGGGTTCAAGTACAATAGTTCATAGCAGTAATACTAATATACTATCACATCCAAAATGTCTAAGAACTACTGCTCTCAAAAGATGACTAGCCTTGGGAGGGTAGGTGGGAATTGAACTTGAGCGATTGTAAAATGAGAGACGTGGGTGGGGGAAGAATGACCCCAGCCCACATTATATATTCGGAGAAGGCGAATACCGCGCTTCGACGATGCACAAAATTGCGTTACAGTCAGCTTCGCTTTCACAATACGCAAATTTGAAAGCGATAAAACGCTTAAAATTTTTTTATATTGAGAAAGCTTGCTTCTGTAGCAATTGGCATCGTTCTCATTACAATGGGTGACGCTGAGACATGTGCAAGGGTGCCTGACGGTGGCGCTTGAGGGCTCTGGAATGTTGTGCTGGTGATGGCGCGTGAGCCGTTGATTGGAGGTTGCGAGAGGCGTCAGTCAAACGTTCGGCGGTGGGGGTGACATACATTTCCTTGGCCATTTCACTGCGCCATCGGCCTAGTTGTTTGAAGAGCCGATCCTCAATTCCTGCGTTTGCCGCTACAGTTGCCGCTCCTTTGCGAAAAGAGTGTGTGCCGAGCGCGTGGTCGCCGAGTCCGATGGCATGAAAAGCTTCCTTGCACCAGTTGCGTATTGTGGTATACGATGGTGGTTTGACTGGGAGTGAGTTGCTCGTGGCCGAACCAAACACCCGGATTAATGGCCCTGGAGTGGCAGGACCATATCCTGCTAGCTGGATGAAGCGCTTCGTGCATCGGACGGGGCAGAAAGGTCCCTGGCTTGCGGCGATAGGCACCCATGAGCCCTTCCCCTCTTGGTCAGTCTTCGAGCGCGGGATGAGTAGCCACATGGCATCGTCTTCGAACTGAATATTGTTCCAGCAGATGGCGGCGAGATCCGAATACCGAAGGAAGCCGGCGTACATGAGAAGTGGTATGAGTCCTTTTTGAAAGGTGGATGGGTCGTCCGAGCTAATGAAGTGTGCGGCCATGGAGTGCACTTGGTGAAGAGACACCGGTTGTTTGGTCCGGTGGGGTCGCGGGCAGTGGCGCTTGGCAAATTCTCGGACTTGAGATGTCATGGGGCCGATGGTAGGGCAGGCGGCCCCAATCATGCGGTGGGCAAAACCAACCGCCGAGCAAGTGAGTTGCACCACCGAGAATGTGGCCTGGTGGCGAATGGCGTAGACGAGGTACAGCGCGAGCGTCATATCTCGTGCGGGAAGGTATGGTAATTTAGTCTTGATGCAGAATGAGCGGAACTGCTGCCAGTATGGTTCGTAAGTCTTGATCGTAGATTCCGCACGTGTTTGCAGCATCATTGTGAGCAATTGGCTCTGCAGCGAGCGGAGTAATCCTGAAGCGATTAGAGAGGACGCAAGCAAATATGTTAACGAAAGGAGATGCGCAAGGCCATTATCATGCTATGGGGTAGGCCGGAGCCCGAGAATGCCGTGGTGTGCGTGCCCGGTGCGAGGCATTGACTTCCGTGAATGAGTTTCAGGCAATCACGGATCGGCGAGGCCCAGGCGGGTGGCAAGGTTGGAGGAGTGGCCACCAACTAGCCCCGGGCCAGAAGGGAACAATGAGCGTCAGTGAGGCTGATGTCCTTTGTGCGTGGTGAAGGACTGCCGGGATCAGCTGTGGTGGTGGAAAAGCGAAACCATGTTCGTCAGCCCAGGATGTTGCGAAGGCGTTGATCGCTAGGGCCTTGGGATGTGGGTGTTCGCATCAGAATCGGGGGAGCTTGGCATTCGCAGCACTGGCAAAGAGATCTATAGAGTGCGGCCCCCAACGTCGCTCGAGAAGATTAAACCATGGGGCCTTCAAGGTGTAGTCGTCTCGGTCGAGAGTCTTCGAGAGCTCATCCGCGAGCGTGTTAAGCTCGCGAGGGATCCATTCCATGATCAAGCGAATGCGACGAATCATGCAGGTGCGAATGATGGCTTTGCATGCGGTAGTGAGACAGTTGTTGCGCGATCCACCCCTTTTTAGAATAAAGAATACGCCCTGGTTGTCGACACGCACGAGCACATGCTTGTTCTGGATGAAGCTTGTGAAAGTTTGCAGTGCCCAGAGCACCCCCTCTAACTCACGACGAGTACTGGATGTGCCAAGTAGTTCCGGGGGCATGTTTGCGCAGGCCTTATACGTATTCGTGGAGAACGTGTCGAGTGTGGCCCCCCAGCTGTGCGCGCTGGCGTCGACATGAATGATTGCGTCGTAGCTACCGTGAACATGAAATGGGGCTCCATTGAAGTGGTCGAACTCGATTGACCAGAACTCCAACTCTTCGCAAGCACTCGGGGGTAGTAACAACCTGCTGTTCCATGAAGGCGCATCGTTGATGGTTTGTAGTAATGCTTGTCTGAATGCTCGCGCTGTCGCCCCAAGGGTGAGGTTCATGGAGGCGAGCATGCCTGTGATACGTGCGACTTGCCGTACTGGGACTTTGTGCTGTGCACGTCCTGCGGCTGATAATGAAGCGATGGTAGATTGCAGGACGCTTCGTCGCTCCGTGCCGACAGAAAATTGTCCCCGCTGGGTATCGAGCTCCAATCCTAGGCATCTTAGCTGCTGAGTAGGATGGAGATGAGACTTTTTTGCATTGATCACGAGTCCCGCTTCTCTTAGGTCCGTGATCGTGCGGGTGCAGACATCTCGAGCCTCGGCTTCTGTGTGGCACAGAAAGAGAATGTCATCCACATATGGAATAACGCGGACCCCTGTTGCTCGCCATCGACGTGCCAACTGCTTGATCAATTGAGTAAAGACGAAAGGCGCCGTCGCTAGT